CGTTTTATTTTCATTTAAATCTGTGAAATACAATTTTATTGGCAATGGATCACGTTTTATTTTGACACGATAATAAGGGAAAGTGGACATGCCAACTTTATTTGTTTTTTTTTTATATCCTGTATACCGCAATCTTAGAGGTTTGTACATCAGGATGAAAAAAAAAAAATTACCAGAGCGTGTTAGGGTGGGAAGACATGGCATTTTTTCTTTCTCAGTATGAAACACACTTTTATCCATTTGGATATTTGTGTCCAACCGGTTTTACGTTATTATTTTACCATGTATCCAATCTTTATCGGAAAAAATGTTTTCTTGGCTCGTTGTCTACAATAAACTATATTGTCCGAACTATTTTGACCATAGTCTAATAATTCTATGGATTAAAAAGGATTCTAATAAGTAGATTAGGGGCAATTTAGCCTTCTAAATCGCCAATGTAATCTTTTCATGGACAGAAAAATCAAATTAAATTCTAATAATGGATAATTAGAACCGGAATTAGCCTATGACTTTCCTCCATCATTTTGTAATGCATTTCGAATCCAATTTTATAAAGATAGATGGATATTATTCTACCCTATAATCATGTCTCTATTGACTATGATAGCGCTTGATTTTTTCCCTTATGAATGTTGCAAACAAGAAATTGATAGAGTGGATGAAATCGGACATTTCCTATCGACTAAAGATCATAGTATTATCGTAATGTATATATAAGCTGGAAAACAAATTCGTTTTTCTTTCTCCCAGTATTTTATGATGTGGATGATAAATTAGTCCTGTAGTCTTGTCATCATTTTGACATTTAATAGTAACCTAACCTAATCGAAAATAATTTCACAGAATAATGACCGATCGTAATGTCTTCTTTGATATCGAATTGAAAAGGAAAATATTATATTAGTCGATCTCTTTCCTCCCTATTTATCGTGCCTAGAAAGGATTAATCTATTCGTACGTCTATTTCTTTCCTTCTCATTTATATTGGTATCGTCATCAATTCAAATTGAATTGATCGAATGATTTAAACCAGACACTTTTTTACATTCTTGTTTGCATAGCGACTGTGTCCACTCCTTGTGAACTGAAACTTTCTATTTTTATAGTTTTTGATCTTCTTTTCTGCTCCATTCTCGATTTACATCTATCTACGGCGACTAAAGCCAAAAATCTTTGGTTCGATCCCTATTTGTATAAGAAGGAATAATTTCAAAATTTCAATTTAATCCTAGTGATACAGATAAATTTTTACTTTAGTTTATTATGATTGTAAACTTTGTGTCTTTCTCTCCATTCCTGTTGTTATGGAAATTTTAACCTTAAACTCATGCATTATTATGATTATTTGATTATGCACTTACCGTAACTTATTCAATGATTGATTCTCCGTCTAAAGTCCGATAGAGATTATTCCTAAAGCATATTCTGCCTTGATAGCAATCTTATGCTAGAACAACGGCAAGATTTGCCGTAGTATCAGCATTTATTTCGATCATGGTAGTCAAATATCTCTTTTTTTTTAAACCATGCCATCGTATTCTCTCTTATTCTTTTTTCTGCCTTCCATACTGTATCTTCGAAGTCAGCGTTGTTTCTGCTTTGATAATGCTACTACATCATTCTATTACAGAAAAGCCCACTATCATCCATTTCCATAAATTCGTACGATATCAGTAAACTAATATCTATTTAAGTAAGAGGGGCTATTTAGCTTGATTTGTTTTGCGATATTTTAGTCGTTTTTAACGCGCCTTAGTACAATATTGATAAACTAATATCCATGTAAGCGAGACGGCCATGATTGGTTTTACGGTATTTATTAGCTTTCATCGTGCCTTAATACGATATTGGCAGAGCAAGGTTGATTTGAATGCGAGGGCCATCGAGCATAATTTATTCTGCGTCATTTTATTATCTTTCCTACGCGGTGCGTCTACATAGAGCATAGGCATATGCTCGTGATATAAATTAAATCATTCAATTTAAGATTCTTTCTGAACTTTAGTTCAACTCCTGTATAGAAAACCTGGAGGAAAGATTGCTGTATGCTAGCTAAACCTTGAATTAGTTGAAATTTGCTGTAATTTCATTCTATACTAGAAACTTTTCGTGCTCAGATCAATTGATAACCGGCTTTAAATTTTAGAATTCAGTTGCTGTATTCATTCCTATTGTACTGAATCTCTATTGGAATATTGAATATTAGCAAATAATCTAGATTGTTAAACAGAATCTCCAGGAGCCGCATTAGTATTGATTACTGCTTCTTTGAAACTAAATGCAATTTAGTGTCATAATACGTAACTTTGGAGATATACTTTTCATAGCTTTGCACATTTACTGTCTATGCTATTTAGCAGCCTCGATAACCAGCATAGTGTAGATCGATGATCGCATTTAAACCATATCGACGAAAAATTATAGGCTAGAGATTTAGACATGATAGGATAACTGCTAGGTTTATAATTATACTATTTATGATAAAGACATGCTATTGGATGCATGATCCATCAGAAAAAAAACAAATTTATACTAGCGCAAGAAGAAAACTGAAATCTTCAACATGAACTACTATTAAGTATTACACATTAAGTTAATATTCAACTGCAAGCCATAGGCCCAGCATGTTCAGAACGATATTAATATTCAAGCTACTATATCGTTATCGAAGGAATATAATCTAATCTAGCTAAATTTCATTTCTGAATACTTATGGGTAGAAAAGATCAAGCTTAAATGATTCGATAGTAATAAGATCTCGTCATTCTACACCCGATAACTTTTGACCCTAGTCAAAAATAGTCATTGAAATATTTTAGGAAGTCCATTCTTATTCCATTCACAATGGGTGTTTATTTAACTACGGAAAAAAAGTTGGATTTGACGATTTACTCAAAGTAAGAAATGATCGTTCCGTCAGGTACTTTCAAGAGATTTTCTTTTTCACTTCTAAGAGAAATTCTCTTACAAGTCCGCTCACGCTTTACTGCAAGCTATAGATCTCACATTTTCATCACGATATCAATTTAGGCTAGATTGTATTATGTAAGGAGTGGAATCTAGCCTAGCCGGATTTCATTTCTAAATATTGATTTACAATGATTAATCATCCTTGATTGCTATCGTTTATTTCAAGAACGGTAGGATAGGTAAGGCTATGAAGGGAATAAGATATAAACTAAACGGGCTGTCAAGGTAGTTCTGACGTTAGTAGTGATTTATGTTAAGTTAAGCACTCTAGTATGCCATTAACCTTCATCCACTATTTTCCACTAATCATTATTGGATGATATCTTTTATTTTAATAGCAATATGAAAGATAAAATTATTGACCAGATTTAACGCTCATAAAAGGGTTGTCATGGGTGGTTGTGGTTTGAGCAGTGATTTATGTCAAGTCAATAACTCGAGTATTCCTTCGCTGATGAGGAAGTTCATGGCGTTATTATGGCATAAGCCATAAACCCTTTATTCCCTGTTTTCGACTAATCATCACCCGATGATATCTTCTATTTTGATTTCGATAGGATGGGCAAAGTTATTGACAAGATGTCAACTAAAAGGACTGTCATGGTACTTCTGACGTGATTAGTGATTTATGTCAAGTCAATAACTATTTGTTCTATACAGTAACATAATGACTAGACAGTAATGTAGAATGGAATAATAAATGCAATATCATAGCTCGAGGCTTGATTCTACTTCAAATAGTTCTGTTATTCTCTTGAGAATAATGGGATAATACTCCATTTTCTGACTAGTCTACCATTTGAGTTAATATTACATATGTTACGCTTTTATCGCAAACAACAAGGAGGATACCTTTGCTTTCGGCATTATGTTGTACCCTAATTCAATGGATTATTCTTTTCAGTATCGGTAGTGGATGGATTTGGAAGGGTTATTATTTCATACTGCTATTAGGGATGCTTTAAAATATCATTCATTTATATTCATATTACAATCTATCGCGTACATGAAGAAATCATATTTAGACTGTTAATCGTCATTCCTAGATAGATTGAAGATCATGTATTCGCCTATAAACATGGTTGCAATTAGTTGCAATAGGTTTTCAATATATTGATAGCATCTTTGTCTCTTTTTTGGACCTTTTTGCATTTCATCGGATACAGTGATAATGATTTCCTTTAATATATTGAATTGAATTCAATAGTTTAATCAGTTGGATTGTTTCTCATCCATTTACGATTGAATATTCAATTGTATTAGGAAGGCTGATGGATTAATAATTGTGGAGTAATGCAATCATAATCATAAACTCAGGAGTTTATGTCGCTTTCCATTCAATATAGTCAAAATGTAAAATTTGCTATCATACTTCATCAACTCTACTCTATATTAGTAGATTTTGCTTTTGGATGAGTCGTTTTTCGTTTTGGGATAAGGCATGGAAATTTTCACATTTAATTGAGTTACAAAGTCTAACCTGTTATTGACTATATAAGTTTGATTTTATACAAGCAGATTTTGTTTTTGGAAGAGTCCTCTTTCATTTAAAGTAAATTTTGCTTCTAAAAGGGTCGTATTTCATTTTAATGGGATAAAATTTTTATATTCGTCTTTCATTTGAATGGGATAAGATTTTCACATTTAATTGGATTACGGAGTCTAGCTTGCTATTGGGTTCATAAACTCGACTCTATAAACGTCAATTTCACCTTTTAAAGTAAAGGGTAGACTTTCATTTTAATGGAATAAAGATTTTTACATTTAATAGGATTACACAGTCTAACTTGCTATCGAATCCATAAGCTCGATTAGATATAAAGGTCTTTGGTTTTTAATCAAATTAATCCTTTTATATAGACTAGTAAAGTTGATGACAGTTGAGCGCTGTGTAGAATGGTGGATGATGAATGGATTAAATAGATTGCGTAGAAATTTTCTTGTTAATGTATTCATAAATTGTATTTATTGATCATTAGGCATATGAACCAACAGCACAGCTATTAGCTCGAAAAGGTCCAACCTTTGCTGAAGCAATGTTTGATCATGTATCGTATGAAGAAGATGAGTTAAAATTTCTTGTTGGTGATATTATTCTTATACTTGATGCTAATGACGAAGATTGGTGGTATGGTAAATTGATTACCGATGACGAAGATCAAGTAGAAGGGTGGTTTCCTTCTTCATTTGTTAGAGTAAGGAGTCATTGCAGTAACTTATAATCCTTTTCTACTCATATGTAATCATCCTTAAATAAAAAATTCAATTTTAGTAAGCAAGATATAGTCTATAGGATATTCTTTACTACTAATTAGGGTGTTGTCTCATCATTAGCAGTTTGTGTAAGGACATATTTTAAGTGAATTATACAGTTTTATGGTAACTATCTATCAGTGTACTGTTTGCTTCTTATTATATGAGTATCCATAAATGAAAAATTTTGCAGACAATATTCTATAAGTTTCTCTAGTCAATTTGGCAAGTATCACTCCATTCTCTATCTAGAATAGATTCAATAAAGTGCAGTAGTAGTTTCTCAGCTTCCATAGGCTATCAATCAAAGTAGGAAAGGGAGTAGAATTCCATTATAACTAATTAATGGGATTAATTGTATAATCATTTTTTAGTTACGTGTAGCTCAAGAAACCGCGGCCGAAGAGGTTGCCGAAAAGCAACGTAAAACAAGCGTATCCTCGGATAAAGGTGTTGAAAAATTAGCTTATATTAGGGGCCGAGTCATTGATGAACTATTGCAAACCGAGAAAGATTTTGTTGGATATCTTAAATTTATCATCCAGGTCTGAATTTAAAAATAGGTCTAAAATTGACATTAATATCATGATCAAGTTAATTATCATAAGATTAAAGCATTGATAATATCGATAGTCTTATGACAGAAACCAACTTACGCATGTAAATTATAACAATTTGATTTAGGATGTATTATACGAAGCAAAAGCACATCCCAATATGTTTTCAGAAGAACAGATTAAAACAATTTTTGGAAATTTAGAAAATCTATTTATATTACAGAAAGATTTTCTAAAAGATTTAGAAATTTCAGTTTTAAAGAATGACAACATATCATCGCGTATTGGCAAATGTTTTTTAGATTACGTAAGTTGTTAGCTGTTAGTGTGTAGGCTAATTAAATGATTGTGATTTATTGACTAAATTAAATCACTTCGAGTGTATCCTATAGATGATATCAATCTACTTAAAGGTTTGCTAAATATAAATTTAAAATTTTTTTATGACAGGGTGATCGTTTTGGTATTTATACTGAATATTGTGGAAATCATCCTAATGCCTGTGCTGAAATACGACGATTGTGCACTAATTTGAAATATCAGCGATTTTTTGAGGTAATATAAGAATGGCATGTTCTTTAATTGAATTGCAATTACAATTTAGCTGGTTAAACTTTCACGTGTCTCTTGTAGCCATTGTAATTTTTTTAAGACCATAGTTCTTGAACTATTTTCACGATGAAATACAAATGAAGACACTGGTATATCAATAAATCGTTCAGAAATAAGCCTAATCATTTATCTGCAATCTATTATAATTTTAGTTGTGTTGCAAACTGCATCCACTTGGTACATTGGGTATGGATGGATTTTTAGTTATGCCAGTCCAGCGTATTTGTAAATATCACCTACAGCTAGCAGTAAGTGATCATAAGTGTAAATGCGTATTGTATAAATTAATTGCCTTGATCGCCCACTACAGTCTAGCAGTGGATGATTTTATAATTATTTAGCTAAGAGAAATGGTAGATTTAAATTATTTTATCTTCATGGTATCTTTTCATGTAGGAACTACTTAAGCATACATCGCCAACTAGTAGCGAGTATAGTATAGTAAAGGCTGCTCACCAACGTATGAAAGGTGTAGCTAGTAAAATAAATGAACAGAAAAGATTAATTGAAAATATTGCGCAAATCGCAAACTGGCAGAAGTCGATCGAAGCATGGGAGGTTAGTTTTTAAAAGCTTAATCTTATATTGTCAATATCTGGTTACCAATGAAAATTGCACAAGCTTGATTGAATTTTTTACTTTTTACGTACGCTCTAGGGTGATAATGTGGCTATGAAAAGTATCAAATTGATATATAGCGGACCTGTGCGTTTATTGTCGAAAGGCAAAGTGAAAGATCGTATGTTTTTCTTATTCGACCGTCAATTAATTTGCTGTAAAAAGGTAAATCATACAACAAGTATTACTCTCAAATAGATTGAAATTTGCGACAAGAGTTGTTTCCTTGTAGATTAAATTGTTCGAATGTAAAAGTATATTCAACGTTAATGGTATTTGTTTGTGTACTTAGGATGGTGGAGGATTAACAAAAGGTAATTTAGTATATAAAGGACGCTACGATCTAGAAGAATATGATATTATTCCACTGGAAACTTTTGAAGGTAATATTTAAATAACAATTTAATTATTTTATAGACATTAAAGGTTTTGATTGTGATTTTCTGAATGCTGTTTCCTTAATCATATGAATAGAGGAAATATTGGAAAGTGAGGGTTGGAAAGTACGCTGTAAAGATGATGTATTTATATATGGAACAGCTACTGTAGAAAGAAAGAAAGAATGGGGTGATGCTTTTATTCGAGAACGTGAAGAAGTTGAAAGTATGGAAGGTAACAAAATAGTGTTGAATGTACTGTTATAAAATTCATTATGATATTATTATTGACTTTTTAACTTTTATATAGATTTGGAAATTCCTGAAGATATACGACGAGCTTTAATTATAGCATCGACAAAAACAGAAAAGAAGAAACCGCTTTGTAAGTAGAATGTAATATTTAAAGTTTTAATCTTTCCCCATTTCTTGTTTTACTTTACTTTCGAGCCTTTTAGGATAATTTCGATTGATAAATACCGCGTATATCCTAATTTTTGTTCTCTTTGTCGTGTTATCTCATAGCAACAAGATTAAAGTTATCACGTACAAATACAGAGCGTATATTAAGGGATTTTAATGATGATAATGAAGTTTTCACGAGGCAGCGTTTAAATACAATATCAGGGCCTGTTATCGATATAAGATCAAAAGCAATGCAAAATAAGAAAGCTGGCCGATGGACTAAATTTGCTTTCCTTAATCGTAAGAAAAAATCAGAAGAAAACGATTAATGTTGACCTAACTATTGAGATGGTGATCAAGATTGGAAAATGATGTTGATTCAATGGAATCGCCCATTGGTGCGTCTGTTTATAAATTTTTGAAATGGATCATTCGAGTGATTTCCATTTTATAAACTGCAAGAGTAAAATTACTGGGGATCTCATTATATCTACTAATTTGATTTCTAAATTGTTGTACTTGCTTAGTTATATATAACATAATGTATCATCTATTTACTATTGAACAGGGTATAATATTGAATTATTTGTAGAGTTTTGAATCAGTTTTTGTATATTATCCACATATGATAAGTCAAATATTGATATAAAGAGATGATACTATGGCACTGGTTTACTACAATAATATCGCTACTTGCATTTTATATTTTGTATATAGAATATATATATATATAGTGTTGCTATACATCAGAGTAAACAATGAGGATAAGATTGGCTAATCGGCATCCACTAGCAGTACCAGCATGTACATTTAAATTGATGAAAAGCTTCTTTTTAAGTCATTAATTAGATTGAGATGATAAGAATTTTATCTTCTTTTTTAGTTGATTACTTCAGTCTTATTTTTAAAGTCTCATAAATTGAATGATAATTATTCCTGTGTATACTCTTTCCCTTCACAAGAACTGATGCTGTTTTTGCCTGTAGTTTTATTGATCGAAAGACTCAAGGATTGATAGATTATCTTACATTGTTTTCAATTATTGCAACTGACGTAAACGATGATTTAAACGAAATTCTATAACAGAAAACCATAAAAATATTGTGGAACTATTCAATGTTGTTATCATATTGTCATGATGTTTTATTAACTTTGCTCTCTCTCTCTCTCTATATATATACACTTTTCTCTCGTTGAAATGACATGGATGGAAATTATTCAATTTCAGACATTTCATGCGTAGATTTTATTGTAACTAGAAAACATTGTACGTTATTGCAATTTGACACTGATATTATATAGCAAGACGAAAAATTGTTATCAAAATTGAATAAAAAGTCATTTATTACACACTTACTCTCGGATGACGATTATTCGAATGTAAAGCCCTCTCTCGCTAATATACTGTAGAGGAGGAGATACCGTATCATTTGACCTTGCAAAAGGAACAATTTGGCCATTTGCCTATCATCATAGGAAGGCGTCGGCAATGGCAATATTCATGCAAGATGAAGGCATACTAATTGCATGTTTTCGATGGGAGTTATTTTGACGAATGTCGGTGCGAGGATAAGCTTCTAGGTAATACTTTGACTGATGAGATGATTGCCCTTGTAGATTATGTGGTTGCACACCGTACAGTACCGTAGTAATAAGGAAAGTGAATCGTTAATCTCATATTGCAATTCCTTACTTCTAGGTAATACTAGACTGATGAGGTAATTGCCTTTGTGGATTATGTGGTTGTGCAGTACTGTAGGAATAAGGAAAGTGAATTGTTAATCTCATATTGCAATCCCTTACTTCTAGGTAATACTAGACTGATGAGGTAATTGCCTTTGTGGATTATGTGGAAAGTGAATCGTTAATCTCATATTATAATTCCTTACTTCTAGGTAATACTAGACTGATGAGGTGATTGCGCTTGTAGATTATGTGGTTGCACACCGTACAGTACCGTAGCAATAAGGAAAGTGAATCGTTAATCTCATATTATAATTCCCTATTTAGGATTAACTCAACTACGAATATTATTTTTGATTAAAACTAAATCGAACCAAACGTTATCATTCGCCACTAGTCTCCGAACTTACTGTAATTCCTAACCCTAAAGGCGATTACAAGTCAATCTGGAAGTTTTTGACAATCCTAGCAATTTTAGGACTGTGCAACCTCGGGTATTGGCCATATCATAATCGATCTCTATACGAGTATATCGAATGATTGAATACCAATTATTCAGTTATGAATTGATCAACAGTAAAAGGATATGGAATCGCTACGATCTGATGATCTATTCTGCAGTAATTGTTTTGTATGGTTTGTATGAGTACGAAGACAGTGGAATGGCGCAGACTTGTCTCGTTGATAGGATCAACTTGTTCCAAGTATTCTTCTTCAGTTCATAGTAGGGCTGCAAGAAGTGAAGAGGAAATAAGCTTTCCTTCTTTTCCCTTGTTCGGAGCTCAGAAAAACTTTCACTCCATGGAGGTAAAGGGAAATCTTGATTCTTAGCTCAGCACTTAGAAGTAATAATTACTATGTACTTTGCAGGGGTGTTTATTTTCTTATCAGACGTAGAAAAAGGGAAAAAATATTACTGAAACTAAGGTAAAGTGGCCATATTTAACACCATTACGTAGCTAGAGAGCTGAACTTTTTATACAAGTTGATCGAATTATGCTATTCGTCATGTCCATTATAAAATATCAGTTGAAAGACGAAATGTGCTACAGAACAGTGGAAGCTCTTAGTAATAATAATAATTGATCAAGAACTTTGCCATCCAAGAGTTGGAAACGAAAATAAAACATAGCGGTACAGTGTACAGTGTACAACATACAGTATATTGTACAATGTACTGTGCGGTATTGTACTGTACGGTTCAGTACAACACAGTGTATTCGTCTTAACCCTAACCCTACTAATGGACTGTACATGTGAGCACCATGTGAATACTGTACTGTACTATACTGTACACTTGCCATCCAGTACAGTACTAATACATAGTGTTTTCCAGCTGTCCGTACCAGTACCTCATCGACTGTGAGAGAAACGGACTTTCATGCCGGGCGAGACCGAGGTAAGTCAATGGATTGCATGATTATCCATCATTTTATTGCTCGATAGAGGCATCAATTTGATCGATGGACGGGTAGACTAGTCCAATTGATGGTCTACTCTGTCTGGTTAATATGTCGGCCAACTAAAGTAGCCTTTTCTTAGCATAATTATGCGTTGATGGATCAATATCGATCGACATCAATTTTATCTTGATGATGATGATGATGATGAAATAATTCATCAACTTGTTGTCAATCTTTGCTAGTCAAGAGCGACAAGTTGGACTGTTGCAATGCAATTTAATGGATATTATAAATCATTTTTAGGTCATCAATCAACATTTTACACCGATTAATAAAGTCAAGCTATCATGAAGAAGAAGGTTTGCACCTTATACCAGTATATCTATACTAGACACTTTTTCATGCTGAGAGCGAAATGGATTGCTTCCAGGAGACCATTTACAAGCAGTCGCAAGATATCTTTCTCTATCATTCAAGTACTCTGTTATCCTATACTCTATACTGTTCTAATAGTGTAGTGGATACTGGCAATATCGATCATAATCGATCGGCACTAGTCGATATCCTCAATCAATCAATCAATATCATTAACCAAAATCAATCTATTCAAGTGGACAATTGAATAGTACTTCGTTATGATCATAGTGACTACATCTCTTCTTGTATCATCCTGTACTATGATACATGCTCGATGCTGTTCAACTTTTGTAGTCCATACTTGAAGTATCCATAACAGCTGATCACAACGTGTCGATATATCCTTCATAAGCATGATAGACTAAAGTTAACTTTAGGTTTGATGTAGATAAAAAGTCACGGTACAATTGGTAATACATGTCCAAGATCATCAATTAATTATACGCATAGATGATAGGCCAAGTCCTCTAGCAATACATCTTTTTCCCTCTGTGTGTTGGACTATCATACAGTACTGTACAATATCTAGAACGCATAGATAGACTGCTATACTGCACAATGTAGTTAGTGATGGTGCAAATGGGATAGTAATCACTGTCATTTCAACAACACCGACCGATTCAACGGAAAGCCATGCCTTGAGCTGTACAACGATAGATAATAATCCATGCGAGTATATTCAGATGGCAAGTGTCCTGTATATTTTTAAATCTACATCATCCAATTATAATTGGATGATATAGTTTGAAACATTATATCGAAGAGACTGAAATTGAGTCAAACAGCACATTGCTAACATAACGTTATCATGTTAAAAAAATTGAAACAATTTTTACTAACTTGGATGAGCTTATTCTTTAGCAATATCATCTGTTCTCAAAGTAGTTCTTACTTTTATTGTAAGATCGAATCGTTCTTCATTGAATCCTTATCATTTTGTAATCAATATTTTTAAGTACTTTATAAGATAGTTGAAAAGGATTTGAGTACAGTATTAATTTCACAGCAGCCGATGGAGCAATAGACATCTTGCAGTGGTTAGCAATGATATCGTTGAGTGGATAACATTATAATATTATGAAATTGAAATGTTTAATATAGTGTCGCTACATAATTGAAATAGATATACAGTAAACATGACAACGTATTTCACATATACGTTGATAGTAGCATTACTATATATGTAGGCTTAATCAGCACTTTGCTCTATTTTATTGCCGATAAACAGGTATTACTGATGGGTAAGAGCGAGTCTGGCAAGACGAGCATGAGGTCAATCATATTCGCAAATTATATCGCTCGCGACACAAGACGTCTTGGAGCTACTAGTAAGTCAATTCTTTCCTCATGAATAAAAAAAATATTCAGTTTTGCCTATCAAGTTTGCGTTATCTTCATTTAATTTCACCTGACTGTATTAGCATAATTATGATAACATACATCTGTATATATCTGTACACACAAGATTGAGAAAATTTTATAAATTTCACCTAAAATAGCCATTACGTTTAGGGTGATAATAAGTACTGCTGTTATGCTTCAGTAATGGCACTAATATACTGTATATACTTTTTTTGCCGTGATTTCAGTTGATGTAGAACACTCTCATGTACGCTTTCTTGGTAACCTAGTACTAAATATCTGGGATTGTGGAGGGTAAGGATGAATCAGTTTTATAAATTGTTTTGTTATCATCTACGTATTTCAATAAAATGTACTATCGTAGAGGTAGTTCAATACATCATGTACAAACTTTTATTCTTGATTCGATATGATATGGGTACTGTACTGTATATGGAGAACCAAAGACACTAACAGTGATGTTGACACTGTCAATGATGTGAATGCTTATAATGAAAAATATTTACTTGTAGTATCCATTTATGTTACATATTGACCGTAGACGAGAATGTTGAAAATTCTAACGCGTGTAATCATATTATGTTTGTTATAGACAAGAAGCGTTTATGGAAAATTATTTTACTAGTCAACGTGATAACATATTTCGTAACGTAGAAGTTTTAATTTACGTATTTGACGTTGAAAGCAGCGAGTTAGAAAAAGACATGCATTATTATCAGACATGCTTAGAGGCAATCTTGCAAAATTCACCACAAGCCAGAATATTTTGTTTAATTCATAAAATGGATCTAGTACAAGAAGATCAGAGAGAAGCGGTAAATTACATTGAAAAATAGTTATAGACCTGTTAATTAATAAATTCATAACTAAATCCTTCGAAATAAAAAGTAAAATATCTGTTTATCACTGCCTCGCCTTAGATCTTTCGTGAAAGAGAAGAAGACTTGAAGAGGCTATCGAGACCTCTAGAGTGCACTTGTTTCCGAACGTCTATCTGGGATGAAACATTATATAAGGTGCATTTTTGCTTTCATATATATTTAATCGTATTCAAGTAAAATTAAATTGAAGTTATTCCTCAAGGTATGCAATTCAATTCATTTCAGGCATGGTCTTCTATTGTATATCTGTTAATACCGAATATTTCTAATCTTGAAAATAATCTAAAGAAATTTACTGAAATTTTGGAAGCCGATGAAGTTTTACTGTTTGAAAAAGCAACGTTCCTGGTTGGTTGTGATACGTTTCACTTCATTATCATCTTTGTTATGCTAAAGCTATTAATTACAATTTTATTAAGGTTATTGCTCATTGCCAAGTCAAGCAGCATCATGATATTCACAGATTTGAAAAAATTAGTAATATTATTAAACAGTTTAAATTAAGTTGCAGGTATGTTGCTTTTTCATAAATCCGCTGACAAATAAAATTGATAATTCTGTATAGGACAATGTTGGTAGTAAGGAAGTGTTGTATGATATACGCTTGCGTCTTGCTTCAATGCTATCATACTGTACAATAAGTGGTGTATTGATAATTATCGTGAAGAGAGTGTATGTTAAGTGCTGACGTATTTTTTTCCCACAATTATAGTAAAATGCAGTCAAATTTTCAAAGCATGGAAGTTCGTAATTCGGAATTTGCTGCTTACGTCGAAGAATTTACCAACAATACATTTGTAATGGTAGTCATTAGCGATATTGCCATCCGTAAGTAAATTGGACACGCTGATAATTAATTAAATGAAATTAATTGATATACTTCTAACTCCGTTCGATGGGCATATATGCGCAAGTATTTATAACTTGCAGTTTATGTCACCAAATTCTACTGTACTTCAAATTAGGTTTAATTTTTATTTATGGTTATTCATTGTAACATCTTCTAGCATCGACGGCCCTCCTGATCAATATAAAAAATGCCCGAAAATATTTCGATAAGATTGAAAAGAATGATTTACGCTCCGGTTTCCATGGAGAATAATTTCTTATCATTCGAAAATGAAATTAATACAGCAATCTGTGTTTTTTTTCTTCTTCGATGACCGATGTCTTGTCTTATAGTGTGTTTGTGCACAGATATGGATATCGAGGCTCTCTCTTAATGACGCTAGCATCATTAATTAAAGTATCACAATCATGAATAAGATTGGCACTTGTAGTGATTTCTACCTTATTACTTCGCCATCGTGTGAACTAAAAGAGAAATCTGAAATTCTACGATTATAATTATAATTACTAATAGTATGGCAGTAATTTCACTATGATTCTGTTGCACGCAAAAGGTAAACGTCAAATCGATGGTTTTAAATCCTTAAAATTTAATTCGGTATTAAAATTTGTATAATTGTAGGACTAAGGTTATAGTGTAATTATTAATTGATGATGTTGTTGTAATCGTAGTTAAAACCATGACTCTGAATTTAAGTAAAAATGTGTACTTTTTATTTAACTAGTCATGAGATAAATTCAACAGTCGAGAAGGGTTTTTATTTTGTACAAATTTGATATTTCGTAAAATAAAACATTAATAAGGTGTTTACTTGTTTATTTTGAAATATTAACACCGCTGCTGAGTTTATTATTAACATGTACCAGCAGCGCAACTGTGAAAGTAATACACTGTAGACGACCGAGGTCACACCAAAAGTGCCAAAAATGTTATGTTGAATCCAAGAAAAACGTACAACGACGATGTTAGATCGATACGGAAAATAGTATAACACTAGATAATAAGTAATCAGTAGCCCAGGCTTGGATTTTCCAGCAGACAATCTCATGAAAGATAGAAGGTGCTATTCTGACAAATGTCCATAGATTAATAAGTAATATAATCGTAACAAATGACTTAAACGGATACGCTCACTCGATTCTAGTTAGACTACAGTTGACTTTAACCGTGAAGCGATTTTTGGCTTTGCATATTCAACAAATTCGTCAATAACCACCGGCCAGGCACCTACAGTAGAGTGAAATTGGTATTGATAACAAATTTAAATACGGCACCATAAGGAGCTAGAGAAAATTTTTACATTACCGTCTTCATCATAATTTGATAAGTCTTCTTTAATTGTTAGAACAAAATCAAGTAATAAATTCCACGTATCCTTCGGTATTGAGCGCTTATAATGTTCCTGTCAATAGCAAATATACAGTAATTTTACACACATAATGGAGGTAATGCTGCATTTTACCTACATGCTTTAACTATATCCTAAAATTGCATTAAACAAACTTTGTTACAATAACGTAAATGAAATATAAATGTAATATTTTGGATATAGCTTTCCTAGACATACCGGTCAATCATTAGTATTAAGAAATTTTTGATGTCATACAATACCTTTAAAAAGTCACACCATAGGTCAAGAGCTTTAAATCTCTCCTTTAAAATTAAATTCCAATACGCAATTGCTGTATTTAATTCTAAGAAACAAGATTAGGAAAGTATTGATTTATTGCAGTTTGAATTTGCTATTTGTATTAATATGGTATGAAAAACTTGGGATGAAAATCTCGCTGTAGTAGCAGCGAAATAACTTAATAAATGTGTATTTAAGATTTTTTCAGTCTTACTATACGGTCGTATGGTAATCAAAGATCCAATGGATGTGTAAAATTTAACCTCAATACTGTTGTATTACCACTTGTAGCTGATATAAAATATACTTTTACAGACTAGTAGGTTTACTCGTATATAGGCAAAACACGGTAAGAGTTGTCTAGATGGTCAATCAGCAGTTTCCCATCGGCAAAGGTTTGTGAAAAAAGAAAGAGTAACGTGTAATAGCATGGTACAAATTACTATAATGTACACTGTACCATACAGGCATAGACTACTAGACGATTATCTAGGTTTTCTTTTAGTAGGCTGTGACCTTACAGTGTACATTGTACAGCTTAGGGAATACGCACACTATTGCCCTATATATATAATCTATTGCTACTTTAGGCAAACCAAGAACCTACTTTCTAACGACAATAACCACTTCATATGGCTACCTACATTCACTATTTTTACCACGACACTATCCTAAATTATAGCAAAACAAATAAAAATAATGGACGTAATACTCAACTTGACGTAGTCTATCATGCACAACTCATATCTGTATACGCTTGGTAAGTATGATGTTGATTTTAATCATCGGGATTCTATGCGTATAAAATGTCTTAGTAAATGCTTATTAATTGTGAGCATACCCATTCCTCGCTGTTGCGGATTCTTACCAAAACCAAATGTAAATTGATAAAATTCCTTAAATTTTACTGAATCTTGTATTTCAGCTTCTAAATTATTAATTTGATTTTTCAATTTTTCAATAGAATCACATCTATGAGTAGATAGAAAAGAGATGTTAGGAAATATAAATTGAATGAACCAAGTTTAAATCAGATTCAACAATATGTAGTACAGACAGTATCTATTATGTATAAGGTATAAAAACTTCTTTAGTTCAGTTGCATATTACAATTTAGTTGCCTTTGCATTATTGGACTTTTGGCTTGATAAATTGTATTTATTGATGAGTCTTGGAAAAGTTAAAGTAGCGCTTACAATAATGTACCAGAAGTATCTGGTTCATGGCTTGGTATGTGTAAAAACTCTCAATTTGTTACAGATATAACTAACTATAGCATAATCTGCAGTAGATTTAGGTACTTACTATAATATATTTATAAGTGGATAGTAGGTACAGATTAATTGCTAAACGATCGAATCCCAGGCTGTATATAATATAATTTTAAGGTAGCTCGATGACTTACGTACTATAAGTGTATTATCATAAGTACCGTTTTTAGTTCAATAATTCTACTACTTGTTCATTCGGATGAATTATCATCATGTTTTTTGTCACTACGTTAATTTTAGCTTTTACTCGATATGTTCAAGAAGGGATATTCTACACCATGTAGGTGATGGTTATTTACGTACACCATAGCTAATACTGAATGCATGGATAAATTGTCCATTGACACGATAGCAACAACATGGCAAAGAGTAGTTTATGATTTGTTACAATACGGCAATCCGTATACGTTATCATGATATGCTATTGAATTCGTTTCATTCATTCGTTGATTGGAATCAATATACTACGTACTGTAGACTAATCGGGCAAGCACTGAAAAGGTAGTGGTAAGTATGAGTAAAACTATCACAATCGATATTCATTTTTATTTTATGCGATCTAAGGATAGTTAAGTAATGACTGTATTGAGTAAAGAGATTGTAGAATATTGTTTAAGATTGTTGTAATTTATCGTAATCGATGAGAGGATAAGAGGAAGAATCCAAGCTAATGTAGGCATTTTGTTAGAATAACAGATATGTACAGACCCTAATTCAGTCATTCCAGTCATAAATTCCCTCTTGGTAAAGATACATTGAGTTTGAGCTTTAAATTTCCATGCAATAAGTAAGACAGGCTGACCAACAGGATCGAGTTGTAAGTCCTCACAAAATCGAAAGATACCATCTTCTAAAATTTTATCTTCTTCATTAGGATCTTTATAACGATCAAAAATGGTACCTAGGCGTTTTTGATCGATTGCTGCTGATCTTCTGGTTGAGGAATATTTGTCAGGATATTGATAATAATCATCGATGGCAGCTTCTAATTTCCAATCATGTGCTGATAGGCAATGAATTGCAGCTTTTTCAGTAGTTTGCGTCAATGAGATAAATTGACGTATTTTCTCGCGTTGAGATGACTTTAATCGATACTAATGGTGTTAGAAAAATGCATGATGACAAGTAGACTCTACATCAATTTATTTTATCTATTCAATTTCATTATGACGACAACTGATAAGCAATGTTTTAATCTATCTAATCTAATTTATAGATTCTTCCTTGGCACTCTACCATTTGTATTTTGATTTCTCCTTTGCGATCTGTAATTTTCGTCGGCTCATTCGTACTGCAAGGGAAAGTAGCAGCTCCAACTGCATCCACCGGTGCACCTAATGGCGTAACTAAGCTAACTGGCTGCGGTCAAGAAGATTAGTCAGCTTGCTAGCCTGAGAGTAGTGGACATGACGGTCTTTTCGATCTATAGTAAATTATAGTTTATTCTGACTGAATTGCGTAGGCAACTGTTGCCTTTCTACAGTGCACTCCCTACAGTACAGTATTGTCGTTTTACAGTACAATGGTGGTATGCACTGTAAGGGTCTGTCGCTGCAAGCGGCTAACCCAATGGGCACTTTGAGCTTATGGTCGCACTTTTACTGTCGATACAGCTATGGACGATCAAGAAAGCGAGGCTGATAATGATGAATAAAACATGATTGATAAGTGTACATGTTCTGTAAGAGAGACAACTCTTTTCTGAGTGCCTGAAAGCAGCATGAAGATCTAGGAAAAGTATGGATTTTCTGCTACGTTTTTGGACCAAGTTCTCGACGTTTGTGAACCCCATGACGGAGTCGATCTTGACTACAGCTGTATCGCCTAATCTAGTAGTCTATGCAGTCATGACTAAACCACAGACTTTGACAAGAAATTAGTCGCTTATTGAGTGCTTAACAGAACCCATACTGTGTAGTATGGACTATTCACTTGAAAAAAAGATCATTTTTAATTGGTAGTTCATGGCTGTAGCAATGATGGAGATAGAAGGATTTTTCCTTCTATCTCCATGGTAGCTGGGTCTCACTTGAGGCGAGTCGGTACAGTACACTGTACTGTAATCCAGTGCTGGGACTGTAAAACCGATGGATCGTACTGTAGCCTACAGTGTACAGTCCATACACTAGAAACGCAGTCCTGTACTGTACGGTACTGACACTGGTACTGTACCAGTAACCACCCATACATGTCTGAACTACTATAGGTACAGTATGCGTGTCGCGGTTGTGGATGGTGAAGCGACTGACATTTTCTCCTTCTGTACCGTATGACGCGCGTACTGTCGCTGATCCCATATTGAGTCTGCGTTGAAGTTGGATGTCAGACTCAGAGCGGAACCTTGCACTAGTGAAATCGTTCTGGATGTCGGCCTTTCAAAATGGATGAAAATCATTCTAAACAATTGCCATGGGGCCTTAAACAGACTGATTTAGCCCCCAATTCTTTAGAGGTAACGTTCAATTGATTCTATGTTATAAAATTATTCAAGAAATAGAGCTAAAAAACATCCTTGGACCACAATATTGCATTGAGTTATGACCATTGCAGCTCAAGAAAATGCCAAAGCGATTGGTGGACTACCGGAGGCAAGCTAGTGCAGTGATATCCTAAATTATCCTCAGTACATTGAATGTTGAATGATCTTTCTTTTCCTTGTAGTGGGGGGGGGGGGAAATCAATCACTTCATCTCGTCGATATAGGCTAAAACGATTAGTAGTTGAATCGATACAGCCTAGCATTGCTTCTACCGTTTACCTGTGTAGTATAGTACAGTAGAAATCGAGAAGCAGTTATTCGACAGTCACATTTTGCATGTTGGACACTACTGACTAGGGTACAGTAGTTTGGACTATGATTGCACAACACTAGTGCTAAAATTGAAAAGTCCACCTTTCAATGGCTACCAATCACTAACCCCACTTTCCGAATTTCGACCAGGACACAATCGACTCACAAGGAAAAGCAATTCTATCGACTACTGCTTATTTCAGTAATGTTCATGTCCATGATTTACAGTATGGAACGAATAGAAGCACATAATGTCGACACGTCTCGTCATAGATTACAGTACTCGATCGATGCAGTAGTCCATGGTATACAGTAGTAAATGAATAAATGATATCAATCTTACTTGCTGATAATTTCCTAACATTCATCACCATTTGCTAATGAAAGGAAAAATCCATAGCATACGACGTATTAGGATATTGCCGCTAATTGAATCATCAAAATGATACTATGTCATGCTTGTATACTTGGAGAGTGGTTTCATCTTTTGTAGGTTGTAACATTTCTTCTCTTGGCTATTGTAGAAAATGTCACAAAGTAAGTTAAAAGCATTCGAATCAGGAACATTTGGAGTCGGTGGTGTTAAAAATGTCGCTAAAAATAAGAAAGAACAATTGGAAGCAAAGAAAAAGGTACAATTTGAATAAATTCATCAGATGGTTAACGACCAACCTGGTCAACTAATTCATCTGGTGCTAATCAAATTGATTACAATACGTCTATGCTAACGATACATTCAGGTATAGATATACAACATTAGCTGTAGTCGACAATACATCAACTGCAATGTGGTATATTAACATTAATCTATCTTCAATTCTGTACTGGATGCATTGACAACTCATCAAGCGATTCTCCATAATTGATAATAGTTTTTATGCGTAGAGACATGAATTCGCTTTCGTAGACATATACTCGTATACTTTGTACGCCAAAAGCGGTAATACAGTATAAGAGTACTTAAATACTAGTATAAATTAGAAAGGATAGCTTTCGTAAATCGCCCATATACTGAATAGCGTTTTCTAATGATTAATGTCAAGTTAAGTCAAAAATGATTGAAGAACTATTATTGTCAACTCAGAGGTAAAAACAGTTCGTCAAACGCACTAATTTGTAATGAAAACTTTCTTGCAGATGGATGAGGAAGCTGCAGCTGAAGCTTATGCCAGCTTTATTTCGTCCTTTAATGAATCAAACTCTCAGGTCAAAACTTTTGTTAAGGGCGGTACTAGCAACACGAGCAAAAGTAAGTTTGATTGCCTGGACTGCACTGAACATACAGTATTGTAAATCTTAGATTGATACTACCTCTATAGTGTAAATAATGTTATGCCTGATACTAACTCCTGTGTTAGATCATAGTAAAAATGCCTCCTATCTTCAGGATGTTATTTTGCATTGTAACATTGATAGATAATCAATTGGCCTATTGCTATAGAATTTCTCTTTAGTACCTTATCTTAACGTAAGATATGATTTAAGTACATGTTGTCACTGCCGTTTTTCCTTTTTCCATATACGCGTACTTTCTGCAGAAGATGAAGAAACTAAAAATAAGCAATATAAAACACCAAAATTAGAAGCAATGTTAAAAAAGTCAACACCTGTGTCTGCTCCTGAACCATCTCCTAATAAGACGGTAGTTGAAAGTGGATTGTTTTTATATTAAATGTTATCAACTACGAGAGCCATTGACGTTTTATCTTACGCGTGCATCAACATTAAATTAGGTTGCTATTAGTAAGAAAAAAGAAAAAGAAAAGAAAAAAAGTAATTTGGAATTGTTTAAGGAAGAACTTAAAAGGTAATAAACAATTTTTAGTTTTTGCTCATAATATAACCTTAAGTACGCAGCCTTTATTGCTAGAATACTTCGTAGTGCAGCTACGTTACATTTCAATGCTATATTGACACATACTACTTAGGGCTCAGCAGGAGCGTGAAATTCGTCACAAAGTCAGAAAGGAAATCTCTTCTACTTCATCTACATCGGATCCAGTTGTCAAAGGTACTCTGTCTAAAAATGAATACGTTAATGGTTTATTTCATGCTAACTATAGCTATTAATAACAATTAATGATATCATGTGTAATTATACTACTGTATACTGGATGTACCATAGAAAATATACAGATACTAATTTACTACAAAAAATATAATAAACCTATCCACAGAGGAAATTCCAGGATATGGTTCTTATGATACCGGAGACCCTAATACCACAAATCTCTACGTCGGCAACTTAAATCCATCTGTAAGGATCGCAACCGTTCGTTATGTAATTGAAAAAAATCGCAATTGATAAGCATGCTGATACTATAAGTTATCATCTACCAGATTGATGAGGATTATTTATGCAAATTATTTGGCGAGTACGGTGCACTTGCCAGCGTCAAAATTATGTGGCCAAGAACTGACGAAGAAAAGAAGCGTAATCGGAATTGTGGTTTTGTTGCCTTTATGACTAGAACCGATGGAGATAAAGCTCTACGTGCGCTAAATGGTTAGGCTTAGTAATTATAACGAAAATTGAATTTTTTAGTTCTTCCTCCTTTTTAAAATGAATTCCACAATTATTCTCCTTTTGTCCACCATAGGGAAGGAAATTATGGAGTACGAATTGCATGTTGGATGGGGAAAAGCTGTGCCTGTACCTCCTCATCCTATTTATATCCCAGCACATTTAAGAGGAGATAACAAAGATATCCCTCCGCCTCCTACTGGTTTGCCGTTTAATGCTCAAGTTAATAAAGTTAAGGATGATAAAGGCAATTTGAGTAAACCTCCACCTGGTGAAAATCAGCAAGACATGCCCTTTGATCCTCAATCTGAAAATGTAATAGTGAAATATTTTTGCCTACTAATGAGTAAAGCTATATCACCTATAACTGTTATCTAGTATTATTCATCACGGATATTTTTACTTTTTATTAACAGAAATTAACCAATACTGTTGTAATAGTAGTGAAACCAACAGATAAGTATGTCAATATTTTTTATACATCTTAAAATTTTAGCCTTGTCACGATATAGCAATAAATTAATTTATTTACTTTTACTTGAAAATAATCTTAAATAGGGAACTACTAAGACTAATTCATCGAACAGTTTATTTTGTAATGCGTTATGGTCCTATGTTTGAAGCATTACTTATGGGCCGTGAAACAACTAATCCACAGTTTAGGTCAGTAATAATAATTGATTGCTATTACGGGAGACTGACTTGCAGTAGTTCAAAGTGTGGCTTCTAACAAGTAGACTCTTCTTTCTTTTCTGCCTAGATTTTTATTCGATAATCAAAACCCTTCCCATGTATATTATCGCTGGAAGTTGTTCTCATTATTACAGGTAAAACTTATCAGTATTATGTACGCTCTTGCTTAGTATAAATCAGTTCTGTTGCCGTAACATACACTATTTGATCTGGCACTAAAATGGTTTCTTATTATCTAGGGAGACCATCCTTACAAGTGGAAAACTGACGATTTCAGAATGTTTAAGGCGGGTTCATGGTGGAGACCACCACCTTTACCTCCTAAGCCGAAAGAAAAGCCCGTGACTGAGTCAAAGAAAGGCTTACTCAGTAGTAGGTACGGTACTCGCTTTTGCAATAAAATCTAAGCCCTTAATAAGCATAACTTGCATTTTAAGTCTCTACTCCGCCTATGATAAATCAATAAATTTAACATTAGTACTATTTGGATTGTTAGGAGACGAGAAAAATTAATTAAAATGCTGAAGGCATTGACATGCGATAAAGATAGTATTGCAAATGCAATGGTATTTTGTTTAGAAAATGCGGTTGGTGCTGAAGAGGTTGGTTCAATTTTATGTTAATAAATTTATTTGGCATGCTTCTCTTTTTAATTGCATTCTCTATCGAAAAGATCGTAGACTTTATAGCAGACTCTTTGGCCATTCTTTCTATTCCTCCAAACTCCAAAGCCGCCAGAATATACCTTATTTCCGATATTTTGTACAATTGCGCTGCCAAAGTACCTCATGCTTCTGATTATAGGAAATTGTAATTATCAAGTTATTGACAGAATTTAAAGGTTTAAAGATTATGTATTCAACCTAAATTTTAAAGTTTCATTACATTTTTTATTTTTACAGTTTCGAAAATAAATTACCAGAAATCTTTTTAAATTTAAATAAAACTTATGAAGCTATAACAGGAAGAATGAGAGCGGAACAATTTAAAGTAAACCATATTTTAATAATACGAAGAAATGTATTTTGCTTGCTTAATAACTATTTGATAAGTGTTAATGTGTAATTTTACTAAATATATTTTGTAGAAACGAATTATGATGTGTCTTAGAGCCTGGGAAGGATGGGTTATTTATCCGTTCGAATTTATATCAACGCTTCAAGAGAGCTTTTTAGGTTCTGTGAAAACGCAAGATCAGGAAGAAACTTCGCATTTTAGATCTTCCTTCGCCGCAGTTGATGATAGCCTGACAAAGGTATAGACTTAGTTTTAATATTTGTAATTATGTATATATTCAATTATATTATAAGCAATGAATATTTATGATTACATTTACTGTCACAGGCTGAGGAGGATATTGACGGTATTCCTCTGGATACTTCCTTAGACGGAGTACCAATGGATAGTGATTTAGACGGTGTGCCATTACAAGATGATACTATAAGCTATGAAAACTCATCAAAAGGTACGAAGACACGTTTATAATGCACTGATATGAGCATAACTATGATTTACTATCAAGTTGTGAATTGTATTTGTTGCATTGTTGAATTTGATCTTTTTTACGTAATGTTCTGGTTTATTTAGGATATGAATCTGTCATCAGCTTGGATTCTAAGTGGGAGCGTGGAGATTTTAGTAGTAATACACCAGATCGTAAGGAAATTGATAGTAATACAGGTCGTCCTGGTACTACTTCATCCGTTAAAGGCGACCAAGGTCAAGAGGGAAGCAAACTATCGACATCTTTTGGAGATGACGAATTTAGGAGAAGATTACGCGAGATTGAAGTAATCTTAGAAATGAATAACACTTGTAATCTTAATGTTAATACGTAAATAGAGGATACAATTGGAATCATGTACATTTCGTAATTGTACATTCAGTGTTATAGCGTTTTCTTTAATATTCTAATGAAATAATTTTTTGATTGATAGCACCCACTTTAGTAATGTTGATCATGCTACAGTAACTTACTTAGCTATTATGCATAATATACGTACATGGTCTTTCTAAGTTAAGCATAACCACTGCTTAGTTGACTACTGATGCTTATACAAGAGCAAAGAGTGTAGATTTTTAACGTTATACTCATATTTAGACATTCACTAGCGAATCGTAAATTGTGTATAATTGGTCGATGTATTTATGACTAATGGATTCATTTATTGACTACAGGTTAAAATCATGGATTATCGGTCAGATTTAGAAAGTGGTCGACGTCACAGACAAAAAGGATTGACAATTGAACAACAATGTGATCAGTACCGCGATCAACTGAAACAGGTTAGTTTCAAATTGGTACTTAAAGAAGTAGCATGGTATCCTGCTATTATCAGTGATTATAGCTGCTCTGACAATTGCATTATACTGTACTGTAAAAGTGAAACTTTCGTATTATAGTAGTTTACTGTCTCAATGCACTATATTACAGGAAATTGGTCATAAAAAGAAAAGGCTTGGCGATTCTCGTTCACCCGATATATCAAATTCACGAAGCCCGCGATCACATTCTAAACGCGCAAGATCGAGATCGAGATCGCCTTATTCTGACTATCGTCGCCAACGTACCTCAAGTAGAAGCAGTAGATATCACTGATACAATTCCCCATAACTGTATTGTATATAAGGAATGATGTAATTGTACTATTCACCGTGGATGTGCTGTTAAAGAACTGTTCATAAACTGGTTAAAACTGATGATCGTTTTAGATATATCAATGTTTTCATTCTGTATTAAAATTAATAAAATTTTATTATCTTCATTCGATTCAATTTATGAAAACTGTTGAATGATATCAATAGAAGATAATTTACGATAGTTTCAGCATCTCGATCTCACGCCTGATTTCAGTTTCTAGTTGCAATTTTTCTACCTGGAATAAAAAATTTCAAGGGATTTTTATATCAGTAGCAACGAAAATTATAATAGCTAGCAACAATGCATTTTTGTAGTCTGAGTACAAATAAGCATGATCATTCGAAATTCAATCAGATTTATAAGTTACAGTAGCTGAAAAATGTAGACGGCGCTAAAAAATAGTAAGTCGATCATGAGATCCTTTACTATCTTCAAGTAAGCGTATATAAAAATTAATTATTGCTCAGAAGATTAAGTTAAGTATAAGAACTGGTAGTTATATTATCAGTGTATTCGGAATTTTACCTGATTTGCTTCAAGCTTTTTTCCTTCACTCTGTTGCTCCTTAAGGTTTTCTATCTGGCGTAGTTTCTATAATACCGTACAAAGCTTACAGTTACAGTTCAGTAATTCCATTTCTATCCAACAATAGCTTATTAAGTTCAGCGTCTAACCCTTTGCAGATTTTTAAGCTTTTTCTGGTTCTCTTGCTGACGCAGGGAGGATGAATTTTTTAATGCTGGTGCTTGACCACTAACATTTTGATTACCTGCAGCTTCACTATTACTAGTACTCTAGAAATTGTTATCAATATTAATTTATCTAAACTAATAATATAAAACATGTAAGCTTTTCAATACGACTTTTAAACACTGTTTGAGTAGATAAATTTAAATCAACCTCCTTAGATTTAGCTTTAGCATCTCTCTTTTTCTTGTTTTTTAACGCGGATTTAGATACTGGCTTGTCTATAATTTTTGAAAAATAAAATAGTGTATGATATTTTAACAGCAAATGGATCGAAATATATCGATATAACACACCTATGGTTAAAGTAGACGAGTAAAACATTTTATTATCTGGCAGTTATCGTAATAATCACTTACCATCTTTTGCATTTGATGAAAGAGTGAATTCTTGATCGTCGTGCTATAAAATAAAATAAATTCGTCTTAGTAACTGATAGTATTCTCTTATTAAACAATGTTATTACCAACCAATTTAATTCTAGATTTAGCCCCCCTAGCTCCAGGAGGTCGATAGACAGCTGGTTTAGCTACATGCAAGTAAAGTATAAAAATTAATAAAGAATATGTCCTTCGAAGGTAGAAGGCTTGCAGTACCTTGATGCTTGGGTGCAAGCGTGGCACCTTCAATAGGTTTGCTGCTAATTTGAAATGGCGGAAATAGATCACTTGGAACGGGCCTCCAGCGAACCTTTCGTAAAATATAAAGGCATATAATTCATTTTAACTTCATACATATTAGTGACAATGATGCATCTTAACAAGAGGGAAATGCCTTTAAACTTATAGCCATAGAGTTTAAACTCTATCTAATTTAGCATTGTAACACAATGTAACTATTCAACTTTGAAACAGCATAATTCATGACAAAATTACAGTAGTTACCTCCCATAATTCTTCTTTTGGTTTTATCACCTGCACTTCGTGCAGAAGAGAGCCAGAATAATGCCAAATTTTATATCTTACATATAGAATACCATCAATTACAAACATAGGGCAGTGGAATAATGCGAAATACAAAACTTGCACATGATCAGCTATATACTACATCTAACGCATGAGTACAATATGTTAGACTACGCTAGCTGGCACGTAGGTTACCCATTTCCTTGTCGCAATCGCGGAGCAGTCGTTGCTGTCGCAAAATACTGTCCGTCGGGACTCCATTCGAATTGTGTTGAATCGCTAGCCTATAGGAAGCGTGTTTGATAAATAAACGTAATCATTAACCTAAGTAAGCTATTTTAACATTGTAGTCGTTTCTGCGATATATAACCGAAGCAAAGGTATTACAGATCACTGCATACTTATACATCTATGAGTTTTAGATGCCTGGAGTAGCTGAAATTAATCGTAAGTAATAATAAAAGTGAAAATGGCGATCTTACTTGAAATTTAGAGATGAGTTTCAAGTCTTGCCTATTCCAAAATTCCTAGAATTATATTTACATTTACATAGTATTTAGAATCCTAGGGCAAATACTGTAAAAGTAATCGATAATTTGTTTACCATTTCTCCTTTCAGGTTGCCAAATCCAGCGAGACAAATTACTATCAGACTTAAAGAGTGATACTCTGCTATTTGAAGTTGAAATTATTACGTAATCACTAGTTACAGTTGAAAAATTGCAATATTTTTCTTGCACTAACGCATTTAGCATAGGTCAATTTAAAAAAGATACTAGTTCCTTGAGGATTAAAATATATCAAATTTCGATAAGAAGAACCAAATTCATGGATAGGATCGCATTTTAAATTATATAATGTTGCTTTTGCCGGCATAGCTTTAAATGAAAGTCTTAAGTCAAGGAATTTTTGGTCACAGTTTAAAGACTTGAAACATGCAGTCAATACTTTTAATTTGTTATTTTACAAAAAGATAGCACTTGAAATTTATCTAGTTGATACATCCGTAAACAACACAAAATTCTCTTCCATTTGGGCTCCATTCGACAGAGTAGATTGGTCCTGTTTTCGCTAAATATATATTTACATGTAAATCATTCTATAAGAGACTAGCTGAATGAGTTTAAAAACTGTTATGGTTCGTATGTATTATTGAGATATACAACGTATAATTAAAGTTTGATAAAGCGAGCACTACTAACCTAATGAAACGTGAATACTATTTCCTTCGTCATCAAGAAAATATAAGCTTTGTTCCCCATAATAGGAAGACCCAGTTTTATCAGATTCCGTTGATGCATGCAATAACAATGACTTACCTAATATTGAGAAATATCTACATTTAATGCTATGGGAGTGCACACTGTTATTTATTATGAAGGATAAAAAAAATACAAAATGTATACATTTATCTGATCATACCAGTCTTATTCCATGACATAGAAACATTATCTGCTTTATAAAAGCTTTTTTGGCAAACTGGACGATCAAAGTTGGGGAAATTATACATCTTTACATAGGCAGGTGCACCCTAAAATGAAAAAATTTGTAGTAGCACGTTAAACAAACATGTATTTTCTTCTATAGGGTCTATAGCGATGATTACGATAAGACGCGTATCTAGGTACCTTTTTTGTAGGGTTAAAAGTTGCAAATCTAATAGGGTTAGTTGATGGTGATAAAGAAAATTCTTGAATACCATCTTGGCTAAGCTTTGCTATAGAAGTTCCTCCTATAGTTATATAATCATTACATGACTTGTTGCTTTGACTACAGTCATAAGAATATGGCACAGGTAAAACAAGTAATTTAAGAAGTTTACGTTTTAAGTTAATATTTTCATGTTATTAAAAAATGATTATACTGTCTATTATAGAGTATGCTAACAATACAATGCTTGCAAAGCATCATTTGATACCTATATCTGATCCTTTAAGCACTAAGACACCATCGACAACCACTCTCGTACAGATTTCTTCGTCTGTAGACCATAGAGGCTTCCTATTAAATTATAGAATAGCATTATATGCCTAAATTATAATGTTTCTTTTAGCCTTAGCCTTACGTTCAGAACAAAGTATCTTTGTAATAAAGATATTTTATTAATCATGTTTTAAATTTAACCGATCTACGTTATGTAAGCTAGCATAGGTAAAAAAATCTATACCAATCGGTGTGTCGCTTATGAATAAATCCTGCAGACTTTTCACCACTAGCCAAGTTCCAAATAACTAGGTTATGCGTTCCTTGAGGCGCTTTGTCTGATACTATATTACGATAAGACAACTTACTGTTAGGATTATTTGCGACAGTCACTAGAATTGCATAAACTGTTTTCATAAATTTTAATCCCTACTGCGATAAGGTCCCCATGTTGCAAGAAAGGAATGCTTTGGAGAGAACGCTAAAGAGTTGCTGTATCCAGCTGGAAACTGATGAACTATTTCGCCTTCGGGAAGTTTTATCACTTTAATACTATAAACAGTAACGATGGAAGAAAATTAATGATTTCAGTTGATTATATAAAAATTTTTCGACATCTCTAACTTTTTACTTCCTTCATTGTGATGTAAATGTTAGCAATTTAGTTCATAATTGAAATTTTGAACTACCTGTAGTAACTATACGCATATTTAAATTTTAGTTAGATATCATCGTCAAACTCTTATACCATTTGCTATTTATACCATAGAAGTCATTCATTTTTAGCAGCTAAATGATGTAATGATGTCAATGTCATTTATGTTGTGGTAATAGCTAATGAAATCAATTACAATTTTGATTTCCTCTGGGTTGGACCGGGATACTAAAATACAGAATTGAAAATATGCACTAATATGTGCAACTATTTTAATTACTAAATAATTGACAGGTTATAAATTTTATTTATTTGTTTAATATAACGTGAAATAACTTCAATTACTTGTAACTTAAAATAAATTTATGACCAGTATTATTTCATATCATCAATTGATATCCTAATTGCATACAATCCTATCTTGACTTGATCGCTAATCTCACTGGCGTCTAATTTATGGATCGGTATATTAATTCCACGTACACTATGTCCTTAATAACATTGCAATAATATACCGATACACTACTACAGCGTTGTCCGCATTATGGTACTTGCGAGTTTACAATTACAATTAAAGTAAGATACCAATTAGTGCTATAACTCATAAGGGTATCAATTCAGTATTTGGAAACTACAGTAAAGACCGGCTTTATCTTATTGAAAAACTACCATAGATACTGCCTGATTTGATAAAAGATTGAATTTATAATTTTAGTATTTAACGAAATTGACAGGGCTAAAATATTCGTCTGGATTAGTAATACAGCTAAGTCGGCATGAGCTGGAAAGTAGACAATATGCGACTATAATTAATTTATAATGACAACTTTAGATCAATATGAGAAATTTACTGCCGCTATCAAAGGTTTACATGCACAATTAGACTTTACAGAAGATGTTCATCGTATTTAATGATTCCTATAGGATTCACTCATTGCATGGTACTTTAATTGGAAATGCATGCATGAGTTATTGTATTGGCAGTTAACCATAGATTGATTCAATTTTTCCATTATCAAAAATATTTTACGCATGTATATGTACAATGCTATACTCACTCGCTATCACTGATCCATGCAAGAAGGTTGCCATCATGAGAGAATGTTAAGCACTTACACTTTGGAGATTCATCCCTTTATAATAGTAAAAGTAGGTAAGAACGAGTCACTTTGAAGAAAGGGCAAACTTTAGCTAATATCGCACTGTAGCGATAGTGTATTTGTCATCATCCTTGACATGATGACTTTGAATATCAAACAATTCAATACCTTACACAGTAGGAAAGGAAAATATTAAGCATTCAATAAGCATGACAAGGTAATAAGATATTACTAGAGTGGATTATACAGCATATTAACAAACCGTTGAAAGTGTTGGTAATCGTCACATTTATATCCAGTTTGCAAAGTTAGACCAGAAGATCCACGAACTATACAACAGATGAAAGATCCAAGAATGAGCAAAGGTGATATTCATTACTGACAACCACTGATGCATGATTGATTAAGCTTAAAATACTTGTAGAAATATTACTCTATTTTAATTTATGCGATGATGTAGTTCTCCCCTATCATACTAATCATTCAATGATAACGTGATGAAATTGATAATGGACTAAAGCCATTTGTAGACGTTTCTATACGATTACTGCAATAGGGTACGAATCAATTTCTGTCTTTGCTATGCATAAGGTCAATGACAACGTATTAAGTGAATTGATAGTATTACTATAGTACAATGGTGGATAAAAATCATCACCATGCTTCTTTTTAATCTGATTTAAGACATTGCTAACATGATTTGGATTCATTTGTGTGGGAGCATTAAGCTGAGATGGCCTAGACAAATATTACCCTACGCCATGGCTGCAATTTTTTCATGACTGTTCATATCGATCATGAACCAGTATTAAACTACGCATATTTACCAGCAAGAAGTGGAGAAAATTGTTGTTGTTGAGTAGCCATAATAACTGAAGACAGTGGCAGTAATTAGGTTGGATATGCAAGCAATCTTTAAAGCATCGAATCGATGCAAGCCCTTGAAAGAGTGATCGAGGAAGTTAGAGAGCTTGCGATGTAGCCAACTGGTGTTGAACTTGTCGCTTTTCCAGGAGTTCCAGGAGAAGTCTGACGTACTCTACAGTGTACAGTACGTCAGACCAGTTCCACCAAGCCAGAGACTGGGTAATTGCAGTACACTGTATGTGACATTCATGTCCAGTATAGGGTACAGTAGCGAGTCAACGGGAAAGTATTTAAAAAGACTTGGCTTTTATTACAGTACCCTCGACGATAGATCGGCAGCAAAATCGACATTGTACTGTACGCAATGTACTGTACGGTACAGTACGGTACAGTGTACAGTAAGGATGTTACCGTACTGTATACCCTGAACGACAGTACTTAGTACAGTAGTCCCTAGCTGTATTGTTTTCTTCTTGCTCGAGGACTCCTCCTTCCTCTTGCTATAAGTCCTACGAGAAGTGCTCAGACTGCTAAGCAAGTTCTGTAGTTGGCCGTGACAATTGGTTGAGTAAAATAGATTCCATTGGGGCTTCGTTAGCTTGCTGAATTACGCTGTAGAGTAGTACTCGTACTTTTGCTGTCTCAGCACTTTCGACAAAGTCTCTCCCATGATAGTGCAGCATAGCAGGGATTACATAGAGACCCTTCTGCACTGTACTACCCCCAAGACTCAAAGTCTGGTGTGTGGCAGTGCAAGACAGGATTGTGCTGGGAAGCGCCGACTTCCATTCTCATCGGCCTCTTTGTAAAGCACTGAGCATGAAGTGAGTTGCGACTCGTATATCAGCATAATGAAACATCAGGACGAGTTGGCAGTGCCATGGGACTAGCAACTAGCCGTTATTTGTTACAGTAGGACGCTAGCAGTAGCATAGCTCATGAGCACAGGGGAACGTAGGGAATAGAGATAGAAGAATCGTTAATCTTTCTTCCTCTCTATGGTTCAGAATGTGTCATGCCGTCACCGATTGAGAGTATTGAGCATGACTAAGTTAGCAGCGATGCAGCGTATAGTCATAAAGTAGAGTGCCCGTGATATACAGTAGAACAGGTTTTCTTACTACATGTGTCTACCAAACTACGCTTATTCAATGCCCTTCCATCATAACGCAATAACGAAATAAATGCCATTCAATCAAGACAAATTGACTACCATTTCAGACGTTAGTAGTATTATATTAGGTAGGATATACGTGTACTTTTCATGACAACAGATCTATGGATGTCGAGGCCTTTTTAAAAGTTGAGGAGAGACATACAACGTGTTTATTTTCGTTTCCAACTTTTGCATGGCAAAGTACATAGTAATTATGACTACGTGCTTCGACTGTTCTTACGAGTAGGGGAATTCTATCAACTTGTATATAAACTTCAGCTTTCTAGCTACTTGATAGTATAAACCATAGTCATTTTAGCTTTGTTTCAGTCATATTTTTTCCCTTTTTTAGTGCGTTGTTAGGATTCAGTATGGCCAATCGACTACAATACTTTACTGTAACTGAGTACTGCTGGTGCAGTACATAGTACTGTAGACGAAGTACTGTATCCCCGCCCAAATCCAAAGCAACAACTACCTGTTGATTGTAGAGATTCCAGAGTTCTTAAATCTCCAGCAAAAGGATCTGAGAAGCAGACCATTAGCCATGTTGCAGTTAGACATGGCTAGTTTCTCTCGCTGCCATTGAAGCTGACAGTGTAGAAGAAATTGGTAGGCAAAAAAAACAAAACAGATATGGATGCTACACAGACAATAACATCCGTATTTTGCAACTGTTTTCAAATTGGCATTGGTCAAAGGCCGGCGCAAACGGAACCGCAAAATAAAGTCGCACTAGACACCAAACGTATGGGTAAGATGTCCATTAAAATTGATGTTGTAATAGAGTCAGATAGCCATCCAGGATTGTATCACAAGGCTACGTGAAATAGTTATCATTTAAATCAGACATTAATACAACCGTCATGATATTTTATGTATTGCTCCATCTGTCGTCTATTCCAATTATTTCGAGAAAAATGACGATCTATTTGATCAAATAAGCTGAGGGGATAATATTGCCGATAGGCAGAGTACTCAACCAAGTCTACTTGTCTACACTAGCAAGATGGACGCATCCGCCTCCTTTTCCGTAGCCTTCGCCAATATGCGATGAGTTAAATTTGGATCGGATACTCTAGCAAGACATGAATTCATGTAGGATCTTTTCAATGATCCATTCAATGATATACTACCAACAGAATTCATTGATGAATTCAATACTGCGTACAAGTACACCCAGATTTTGTAAACAACTTTTCACTCCCACTTCATTACGGACTTTATTATACTATGTAAGATCATTAAAAGCATGGCTTAAGGGTATATTAGCATAAGTAAATTCTTTTAGACTACTATCAACGGACTTGAAATCCACTTTAGGATACGTGTAATTGTCGCTTGATCACCAAATGGACTTAGAGTAGCTACGGATGAATCATTATGGGCTAAATTGAAGTTCTTACCATAATAAGATACAACTATCTACACTGTGGATTAGTCTTCAATTTGTAACTGCAGTCGTTTAAATGAACCCGTTCAGCTAGTGAAATAAGTTTTTCTTAATTCAATTGCATCATTTCGACAAAATAAAAATAAATCAGCTACTATGCACCTAATATACAACAATTAAAACGCACAAATATTCACTAGGTATCCCGTAACTTAACAGAAAATAATACGCAATATCCCCAAATTTATAAATCTGCTGTTTGAGATTAGTTCGGTTTGTGGTTGGTGAACAACTGAATTATCTCTACGTATATCTTATCAAATGTGAAATTAGCCAATACTTCTTTATTTAGAAAAGAATAAATTTATGTCAAAATACGATAATATATAATTAGCAATCGTTGATAATTACAGTGATATAATCAATCAAAAAGAAATATTGTACGATAAAGACAGTTTTAGAACAAGTATCACTTATTTTATCTATATTATTTTGTTGGTCCAAATTATAATGCAAAATATACAAGCAATTAGTAATGAATAATTTAAAATGTCTTCTATCAGAACGTTCAATTCGTACTTTTGGCCTTTGTTTATAGCTTTCACTTTTAAAGTACCATAGGATTTGCACCCGTGCAAATTTTTTGTCCCGATGTAGCATTAAGCTAGATGTTATCGCCAATATGTCGAATATTAGTTTGGAGAAGCTAATTTCACAACTTGAACTGTTATCATTCAAATCGCCTTCTTCTGCTGTAAAGAATAAATAATAGACATAGCAACTTCAAATGTAAAAGATTTGAACACGTACTAGTATTTTGGCATTGGCAAACTTCAGAGATTGACCATAATATATATAACTCATGCAATCGAACAATCAGTTCATTACTTTACGATGCGGTTTACTGTACGATTTTCGAAAGCTTAAAGTTTATAATTTGAATAGTATATTTTCTTGGTAGGGTCTAATTGTGTTATAGTCAAGTCGGGTCGCCGGATATGTGGCAGCGGTGGCTGTTTAGCAAATTCACCAATCGCTCAAAATAAAGGCTATTTTGAGATTAAAGTCCAATCCACAGGTAAATCCAAGGCATTGAATTCAAAGTTGAAAATGTAATCTGCTGATTTCAATTTATAAATCTTATTACAATATAAATAGAGCTGCCAGCTCACGTAGTTCTTCTCTTAATGACTCATGAGAACTTATCTTACTCATCATTTAATGAACCCTGATCCAGGAGTCTGTTTTACTTTATCCAAATTAATGGCATTACTATTGCACCATAGGTTTATTATTACGGTATACTACAGTACTAATCAAGAGAATGTACAGTTTCAAATTCATAAACTACGCCTATTACAGTATATGCAAAGATTATCTTTTATCATTTTTTTTGTACCTATGAAATATGTCCGAAACAAAATTATGTATAACATGACTATAAAATCATTAGTACAGTACTTACCAACTTCAATAAATAGCTTTGTTCAATAATACTAATTGAACTATAGGGTGACATGATACTTTTGACTTGCTAGTTATAATTATACTTCATAATGACAGGTATTTGGGGATTTGGTGTAGCTTTTAAAGATTGTAATCTTGATGAGATTCCTCTCGGAAACGATTCCAAGAGTTGGGTCTATACATCTAGTGGTAATATATTGCATGATGGTACAGCGAAGTATAGTAATTTGAAAAAGGCTGAAGAAGGAGACGTTATGGTAAGCTATTTCATCACCTAATTTCGGTTATTACGTTTAGATATAAATCACTGCTCAGTTCTGTTTACTTATAACTGTAACCTCAAGATATATAAATATCATTAAAATTTCGTAGATTGCGTGTCATTTCTTACAATTAATTGATAACATTTTACCAAAATGTAGGCATGTACTTACGATCATGTAGAGCTTAATTTTTATCTCAATGGTGATAATTTGCAAGCTCCAGTTACAGGCTTTAAAGGCACTGTATTTCCTGTGATTTATGGTACGTTGAATTCATCTACTTCTATATTTTTACAAATAATAAATTGGCACTAACAAAAAATATTTTATTTCTTAAACAGTCGATAAATCTGCAATCCTTGACGTTAGTTTCTGCGATAAGTTCTACTATCCTCCTCCAGTCGGATTTGAAGGAATTATGATGGAACACTCTATCATATAAAAATAACATTAGTAAACCTATAAAAATAATGGATTCAATGATACTGCTAAAAATTACTGTATATTTTCGATACCCTGTATAACAAACTCTATGAATTACTGACGTGCTTAGCATCAAGAATCTACTGCCTAATTGCGCCCGACGTTCCTTTTAATCAAAATTTATAGATTTCTTAGATCATCACATACATACGCGTTATTGTATTGTATTGACAAGATGGTAACAAACACAATGAAATTAGACTGTATTAAAGCAATCTCGATTTAAACTATATATAAAGTCTGTTAGCGATACTATTGTAACTTGGACTCCGTCAATTCACTTCCAAAGCATGGATGAATTGATAGAACATCGAGCACGGTTAATGACATCAGATATACTGTTCCGTTATAATATAAACAAATTTACCTATGTTTTATAGCATGACGTAATTTTTTATCTTAAATTTTCAAAGCAAATATCATTTGACAATTGTCTAAGTTAAAATAGAATTTTTGATTGAAAATTAAAATTTACTATTCATCCTAACAGTAGCATGCCTTATTAAACGATTTTTAACTCTCCTGTGGTTATAAAATTAATTCTCATATTTATTTCGTATCTCGGAATAGAAACAAATTGTTGTTTAGTAAAGGTGACATGACAGCAAAAAGTGAAACCCTGGATTTATTACTTTCGAGTGTAAATTACTTTAATTGCACGTACAACTGAAGTTTTAAAAAATTTCGTTGGACTACTTCGATGAATAATACCAATAAAAATGATTTCTGTACTACTATAGTCCATATATAACATGAATTATTTCGGTTAAACTATACAATGCATTATTCAAGAAGAGAAAATGGTTTATTGAGTTTATTTAAATCGCTCAACGTATTGCAACTTGAGATGGAACAGGAAACGGATTCTGTTTGCTCACAACTAGTTTTTGATGTTGATGTGATATATAGCCACGAACATATCCCTAATACGTAAGAATAGAAATTATTATGAATCAGCTACGATGCTATTTAAGCTAAAGACTTTTACACCATGTACGACTAACCGTGTAAATTAAATTTGCTAAAATACATTCGACCTCATCTGCATCAATACCTTCTTCCTAGGTTTTGTATATGTGGGATTGCTTAAAATTATGCTAGTTCATTACGTTACGTTATTAAGCAATAAATAAAAAAAGTACATACTAACCTGCATACTACTAAGTGCAACTACAAATGCCGAAATAGGCAGCTGGTATGTTTGCATTAGCAGGAATCTGATTTAATAAAGAGATTAATAATATTAATTAAAGAAATTCTAGTAAATATCATAACTCTAGCAAAATCCTTTACAGAAATGTAATTAAAACATACACTTTCTTGAAAAGATTCCGAAAGATTAGCATTTTAAGCCTTTCCAACATTAAATATACTCCACATCGAATTAGAAATTTCTATAGATTTTAAAAAATTTTTATCGTATTCGTAACGAGAACAAGTACGAAGATATGAAAAAAATTTTGCACCTCATTTATCTAACCTGATGTTTCTCGATAGCTTGATTAAATTTTAGTAAATTTCCAATTCTAGGAATCGTAAATAGAACATATTGGAAACACAGTACGAGTAAAAAGCGATTACGGAATAATTTTTCAGGCTTACTTCACAGCACTAGCGATTTCTATAAATTGTGTCAAACGATATTTCGATAGAAGTTTATTGCTTGGGATATAACCCTATCATTTTATTGAAAGAAAGAATATTAGGACCATTGTTTGTCAGGGAATAATGCGAGAGAGTTAAAACAATGTATTACTTACAAGCATCATCTTGACCGGCAATAAGTACATAAGAATTAGCCTAGGGGTATCGTGAACCATTTGATGTATTAGTTCCGTTCAGTCATTACAGTGTACCGTCATAACAAACACATACAGTACGTATATTTAGATTATTAGATACTGTAGAAAATTTTAGAAATACGATGCTTTCGAACCTTTTATTTTTTCTACTGGCAACATGGCAATGATTAAAAGCAAATGATAAATTTTCATCGGCTACGCAAGAACAAGTCAATTATAGAAATTAGTAAACGTTGCATATCATAAGTGAATATTAGCTAATAGAGGAGAGCAATTAAATCTGTTATAGCAAATTAATTACCTTCCTTGAACTGACTATCAAACATAGCCTTCCGTCCGACGTAATATCTTTAAAATAAAAATTTTATTCAACGACGTAGTTAATAAGTTTATTAATTCGAAAGCGCAAAATGTCCGCATCGGAACGTTTAGATACCTGTACGTTACAATATGTGATTTGAGGAAATCGTCTTTTATTGCAGCACTACTTATAGCTCGTGTCAATGGTTTACATAAATGTAATTTATTTAACTATTGCAAAATAAAAAGGAACTAATGAGATTAAAATCAAAATATAATTTTGGTTAAGTAGATACCCGTGTGGATGTTGTACTATTGATAAATTTGACCTTAAGAAAAGATCTACAATTTTGGATGATATTTACTTTTATTTAGAGCTATACCTTGAAATAAATTTTGAATAAGTTATTAACAATTCCTAACATGCCCCATTTTTTGGAATTTTCTAAAGCAGAACGGCTATAATATAAAGAGTACAGAGTAAAAGCACATCATCAATTACGGAGTGATAGCTTGGATAGCAGTGCCATAACAACCATATTAAAATTTTTTATAGACTACACGATTCGGGTAGCGTAATACCATTTCTAATGATATGAAAACAATTTAAGGGTAGGATTATTCATTTACCTATCTCCAGCGCATACTCTAAAGCAGTTCATTAATGCTTCCGCCGTCTTTTCTAAGACGTCCGTGCTCTTGCCTTTGGAATAATAGTAAACCTAGGAGATAAATGGATAAACGTCATGAGTTCATTTTGAATATCACTGATATATAAACATAAATATATTGTGCTAATGACGAATTCCATAATCAATGAATCAACATACTCTAAACGCCAATGCTGTCAATTCGGAAATTACTACATACATAGTTAAGATTCCCCTGTGAAAAAATGGGAAATTTTTCTAATAATCTTACAAGAAATTTGGAAGCTAATTTTAGCAGCATTTAATGAACGCTTGTAATATCTTTGAAGGTACTTACCAGTTTTCATCTTTATGAGATTGCAAAGCGCGTGCAAATGAACTTTAAGATTAAAAAGTTAACTTTTATTAAATTTGGACAAAAGCAGCATGAATGCTTTTCAACTGTAGTGAGTAGGAGTGTAAAACAAGAAATTTTAGCATAAAATGCTATATCCAGACTTACTGCATTAATCCTAACTGTGCATCGAAAGCATGGCGAGGGTCATAATGGTTGATAGCAGCAATAACTCTATCGCAATTACAAAAACTTGTCAGTAGGTACTAGAATGTGCATATATTGTAACATACTGGTACTACTATGGCCTAAAGCGTAGTGTTTAATGAAAAAGCTTTACAAAGGACTGTCAATGTATACATGACTTGGTAAAAGATTTGAAGAGTGATTATCGATGAGGATAAAAAAGTATCCATCAAAGTTGTGATCATCAACGTACTTCATATGGTCAGCAACGAGGTCAACGTATGGAGGAACAAATCGCTGGCATACGTAATGGTGTATAACATCTTCCCTTTGCTGTACAAATATAAAGAAAATTTTGGAGACAATATCATAGAAGGAATATCATTCAAAATAGGGCAATACTATTATTCATAGTTAAGTATAATATCGCATCGGCCAGGTTTTATATCGTGCTAAATCGTTGCGACATGATAAAGATTTTATCCTAGCTACAGATGGCGTATTGTGACTGTAAAATGCTACTACGCAGCAGTATATTACGTTTACTACTAGGTAGAATATAATTATACTATAGTATAAATTCCAAGTACAGCTGGAGTTTCTTGAAGTTAAGTATAAAGCATAAATTCCATGATAGTCACTACAACAGCATGCATGCATTTGATCGTTGCTATTATTTAGCAATGGTACCTTCAATTTCGCTAATTGATTCAAACAAAGTGCTAAGTAGCAGTATTTTACTTAGGTTTACTTAGGTACTGTATAACATAGCTTCTAATTATAGCTGGAGCTTGTTTAAGTTTCCACAGCGTATCAATAACATTGCAGTCATTACAGCAGGTTCAATTTAATCATGGCTATCCTTTGGTAATGGCACATTCAATTTGGATACTTTAAATGATCATTGTCGATACTGATCATGATGCTCATAATGCTCATAAGTTAAAAGATGATCATCGCTGTCATGTAAGGGTTGCAATATGTGTTATACCTTTAAGCCTGGATTCTGGATATGTGAATCTCGAATGGAAAGCAGACGCTATATTAGAAAGAAAAGAGTAAGCGAAATATGGAATCACGCTGAAAGCATAAGCTGAATAAAATATGCCGTCAAAATGGACACCTGTCCATACTACCAATTCAAGAACAAGTCAACATCAATCTTGATGGCAATATGTATTTAATTATTTATTGACTATCATGATATCATTTGTATTGACTGTCCGATGAAGTCGATTTGATACTGCACGTATCAACCATTTAAAAGGAAGAAAGTAATACGTACCTATGCGTGACTAAATGAGGAATGTAGTCAGACTATAATCATGGTATACTACAGAAATTTTATACCATTGGTGCTTTTACTGTATACTGTAGTAGTATCATGTCTAACCATTCTCTATTTCATGACTAATATGTTAGTGTTGATGATGACTATGGTCATCAAGCGAAGGCAATGGATATTGAAAATTGCATGATACAAACCCCCAATCTTCTTCCATCTTTGTTATTAATGGCATTTTCTAGCTAGAAGGTCAAGCAGTTGAATTGTATCAAGTTATTTTAATATAATACTTGGGAGCAAACACTCTACAATCAATCATTGCATTGTGATCTAAGATGATTACTATGATTCATTCCTTATCAAAGGCGATGATCATTTATGGTGAAATAAAACATGGATGAAATTAGATAAAAGTGATCAGCCACTTACACCACCAAGGTATTGAGTAAAGCTTTGATTAAATGCCATCTCGCGTCCGTCTCCTGCTTATTTCAGTAATGTCGAATCTTTCCCTCAACGTCTAAGGAGGTGAATGCAATCTCGATGGCGTTTGCCTCAGTAGTTCAACTTTGTACTCAATATTCCAATCAATCAATGGATTAATGATCCTCGATAAACTTGCCTACCATGCACTAAAGTACCAAGTCGAGTTGATTGATTCGTCAAGCTCTGGACGCTTCCCACTTCCAATACCAATTACTAGTGGCAAAAGTGAAACGGTACGAACGCGTACTGCCGCTTATCTTGAACATGACACCAGTACAGTACCGTCACGACCGTGGTCCGTCTGTACACTGTACAGTACACTGAGTACAGTCAGTAGTCAGTACCACGTACTGCACGGTCTGTACCATGCCAGGGACTTTGTATCTACTTCCCATACGAATCACTAGGAGCAAAAGTGAAACGGTACGAAAGCGTACTGGCGCTTATGTTGAACATGACACCAGTACTGTACAGCAAGGTACTGTCACGACTGTGGTCCATCTGTATACTGCACAGATGGACCGAGTACAGGACTGACTGTCCTAGTCAAGTCCGTAGTCAGTAGCACGTACTGCACGGTCTGTAGTCTGTACCATACCACGCACTTTGTATCAGCAATTGGCTCATTTCATTTTCAACCTTTCCTACTTCCTATACGAATCACTAGGAGCAAAAGTGAAACGGTACGAACGCGTACTGGCGCTTATCTTGAAGATGACACCAGTAAAGCACGGTACTGTCACGACCATGGTCCATCTGTACACTGTACAGTACACTGAGTGAGTACAGTCAGTAGTCAGTACCACGTACTGCACGGTCTGTACCATGCCAGGGGCTTTGTATCTACTTCCCATACGAATCACTAGGAGCAAAAGTGAAACGGTACGAAAGCGTACTGGCGCTTATGTTGAACATGACACCAGTACAGCACGGTACTGTCACGACCGTAGTCCATCTGTACACTGTACAGATGGACCGAGTACAGGACTGTCATAGTCAAGTCCGTAGTCAGTAGCACGTCCTGCACGGTCTGTAGTCTGTACCATACAACGGACTTTGTATTAGTAATTGGCTCATTTCATTTTCAACGTTTTTTACTTCCCATAGGAATCACTAGGAGCAAAAGTGAAACGGTACGAACGCGTACTGGCGCTTATCTTGAAGATGACACCAGTACAGTCAGTAGTCAGTACCACGTACTGCACTGCCTGTACCATACCAGGGACTTTCTATTCATATCTTTGTCATTGTTCACTACAGTACAGTATACAGTGTACAGTCCATTCCTTTACAATGCATAGTACAGTACTGTACAGTGTACAGTACGGTATATCGCGGTACGGTAGCAAGTTGCCGTTTGAGACGTTCCAACAGTCCAGTACTCCAGGATTCCAAACAGGGAGTCAAAATCTGAAAGGGACAGTACAGAATGCAGTATAGTCTTCTGTCATGGTCGATATCCCAAGTTAACCAAGCGTTATTCGAACCCCCATTTTTTCAGCATAGCAGAGATTCATTAGCTAGCACGAAAAATGCCCAATTGAAGATAAAAACCATATCATTAAAACTACCTACTTCCACTGTTTTAGTGTAGATGATATAGATATGTCACCCCGATAGATCATGATACAAATAAAAGCAACCCATTGGGGTGGATCTTGAGATTGACTAGCGCGATACTTTTCATCAAATGCACCTCTCGCTTTACTATTAGTGAATTGACTTTATTCAAGGTTGTACTGTACATACATTAGCACAGTCATTGAATGATCGTGTAAAGCAATGTCGAACAGGTCTTCAGACTTTCCTTTTTATCCGATTTTAGCTGGAATAGTAACGGATCGTTTTGTAACTTAGCTGCGTCGTACTATACAAATATTCAAGTTGACTCCATTCCGAGACACGACACAAACAAGCATTTTGATAATATAAACATGTTAACAATTTGTAATCTACGATTATTACAACTTACAACTGATCTATCATGATGATAATTATCAGATATGACATTACGCTATGGTTAGGACTTAGTGTATTAGTGTTACGATACACACATTGGGATGATTATTCACGACACCGCCTATTCCAAGATTGGAACAGTAAATCCTGGTATTGCCTTCCAGTCAATCGTGTCACGCAACAATGGCACATACAACGTATTCGTTAAGAATCAAGGACTGTCTGCTCATTAATAATACATGAAAGAGTAAAATAACCGTATAGCAGTCATTCGGTTTCAATCCGTCATCGATAACAATTATTTTTGGAGTATGGGAAGGCTGAGCACAGGAAAGCCTATGATTCGCATTATTCAAACGGTGACGATGTTAATCTCTTGACGAAAAGATTAAAGTCCCGTTGCATGAATTGCAACATCATTTATCCTTTTTAATCTTTTATGCGCGTATACAAGTAAACACATACTATCAGTCGGTGACGAGTAAAAATAGAATCTTACTAATATCCTACTATTCGTATTCTTTATACGTATGTCCCCAGTAATAAGTACGTATTTTTACCATTGCTCACTGTAAGCAATTCATGCATGCACAGACATTGTTGTTCAGAATTAGAATATTATAAACCAGCTATCTTATCCATGACTTCTAATTGGACTATATTTAAATAATGAATACGTTTACGCCATCAATATTGTTTAATCACCATGATTCAATTTTTACGTATTTACAATGGCCGCTCTAAAGAGGTTTTTGATATCTTCTTTATTATTGCTACTGCTTAGCAATTATACTAGAAATTTTAAATACAGCAATACAGTATGTCGAAAGACGCTAAAATTGCTCAATCTACATTTTTACTAGAAATTCAAAATACAGGAATACAGTATGTCTAGAGACGCTAAAATTACTCAATCTACATTTTTATCATTTCATTCATTACAATATGCTCGCAATAGTTTACTAAATATTGTCACTTTCGGCCAACCGTATCAATCCTATTAAACCTCAAATAAGATAATTTACTATTTTATATAGTTTTTATACAATAGTACGCGATATTCACAAGGCAAGTCTTCAGTATGACCGCTTGTATACCATTCAGGCTATTAAAATTGAAACTGATTCTTTTATTATTAATGTTAAATGTCTTAGTGCTATAAATAACTACTAATTGAATCAATCTCGCTCGATATCGGTGTCGTTTATAAAATCATTGCATTACAGCAAGTGCGTGCATGCTAGTATTTTGATGTAATTACTAAGTAACAATATATTTTATAAAATAATATTCAAACACTCACAAAGAGTAAGTTTACTTAATGCTTATTCAAAATCTGTACTTGTAATTATCTTTTTGTTTATGCATATGATCACAATTCTCAATTTGAAATCGATAAAATTGATTATAGTCATTCGATTGAATTGTTTGGCAATTATATTCTCAATGATGTAGCTAATTTATCTAAACGCCTTCTAGTATTGCTGGAACGAAAATTTATCACTTATTGTTACAAAAATATATGTTATTCTCAAATTTTTCTTCTTACGTAGATTGACTATAGTGTTTATTCTTCTATTTATGTAGCAAATGTTGTTTATTCGTATTTCATTATTCACATTCCATGTTGACTTTCTACGCCTTCATGAAATTGCAAAGAAAGGATGTATCCGCTAAATTTAAAATTGCTAAAGTGGATACTAATTAACTATTATTAATTAAAGATAAATCAAACTTCTACTTATGATGCCTTATGTGCAATGCACTGTATTCTATTTATTAAACGTATTTTACCGTAAATCAATTGTGGATCATGTTTTCTTAATAATGAATCAATGTTTTCATGTTTATGATTAACCACCGTAGCTATTTATCGTAGGATTTGATCACTAAAGATTTCCTTTCCATTTTAAGAATTTATCTTGTTTGAGTAGGAACTAAATGAAAATATTACATCTCGTGACCTTATCTGGCATAGTGCAGCTTTTCAATTTGATTTTTCTTGCCTTGTCTGTGACTGGTGAATAACCATTTAAGCGGTACATATATGATTATAGTTACTACAGAAATTTTACAATCGGTTATTTATTAATCTCTGCGATATCAAATGATAAGTAATAATATGGATTCGTCATTCCTCAAAGTGAGAAATGACATTAATACTGTACGTACTTGCCTGATATTTACGCAAATGAGATAAATAAAAGAAATTGTCGTGATCATTGCCATCACATCTCAATTTTCAATTCCGCTTTCTTATTAAAAATTAATAAAACGCACCGTATTCATCATTAAGTAGCGCAGGCAGTAATAAAAAATAGTAAATAACAAACGTGTATACTAAATAATTCATAATTAATGATAAAATGCGTAAATGCGTCGAAATATATCCTTAATCTTACGGATTTCAATTAAGTGACGTATGCTACGAGTATAAAGCACGGTAATTATGGTACACTGCTGTAAGTACAATATACCATTGTACATTTTTTGGTTGCATATATTATTTACGATCAGCAAAAAACAATTTTATACCGTTATCTTGTCATACTACATTATTCCGTAATCACATCTTTTTATATTTTAAGGATGATGAATGGTATTTGTACTAAAATTCAGCGACGGAAATTGAGAGATAACACAATTTATTGATAACTGAATATTTGCCTATAATGAGCATAATAACGACTAACTGTGCTTATTCGTCGTAATAATCACACTCTGGTAATGCCAGGTCATGTAAGCGAAAGAGAATTTGTACATCATATGATTTTAATTTATAGATAGCAAAATAGATCGAGATAAATACGCGCCTTCTATTTCGTTCTAATTGTCTTGAATTCGGTGTCATATCGGTATTTTAATACTGTTATGATCCTGCGAGTATAGTGTCTACGTATACTCATGTGCTATTTTCAGATGCTACGAAAATCAATAATCAAGTACAGCAATTTACAGTAAAGTTTGGTTGGTGATTTACAAATTCTCACTTTAAAAAATCTTCAGTGCAGTGACCCATCTTT